CCCCTGCATCGGCAGGTGGACTCTCAACCACTGCACCACCAGGGAAGCCCCCTCACTGAATTTTATACAACTAAAAATATTTCATTGCTGTGTTAGTTTCTATCTACAGTTAGTTTTGACTCTTTTAGTAATGTATTTTATGCAGTAAGCGATTGTTTCTTATTACAAAGGCAGAATTAGCTTGAATTTAATATAAGATCTACACTTTTAAAAGGTAATTTCTACTAAGCCGTTAAGTCCTTAGTCCTAATATAAGGTCAGTTTTCCATCCAGGTCAGAAATAAGTAAAAGACAATGTAACAAAAAATAGTTTCTTATTGAGAGCCTAGATACAAACAAATAATTTTGCTGTTGAAGGATCTATTACTCTTAGCACAGCACTGCATTAGAATGTCAAAAACTAATATGTTAGGAAGAATTTTATATATTTATGCTAATTCTGCTTTAGCTACCCTCATGAAACTAGCTGAAGTCCATGAGTATTCCTTACTTTTAGCAGAAAATGGTAACTTTGAGTATAAACATATTAGGTAAATAGCATGTAACATTAAATTTCAAGTTAATGATGATGTGTGGTGTTATATTTCTGAGTGATGTCTAGGCATTTTTTTCTCAAATCGAAGGAACTGATAGAGATCAGGCATTTAGAAAAGCCCAAGGCTAACATATAAAAATCATCAATTCTGCTTCCAATCCTGATTCTGCCCTCTGTATATAACAAGTTCACCTTATGAATAAGAAGGTGCTTCTAGGTGCTTAAATATGCCACTGTGAACCACTGGTTAAAGCCTTGGCCAATAGAAAAAAAAAAAAATACAAATGTGTGTGTATATATATATATATATATATATATATATGTATATATATATGCATTATATATATAATGTTAATACTAAGTCTATGCGTATGTGTAGTTAACATTTAAATTATACTAAACAATTCTTTAGAATTAGATTATAAAAATTAACTCAAACCAAAATTTCTTCACCTTTTTTTTTTTTTTTTTTTTTTTTTGGGTACGCGTGACTGCCGTGGCCCCTCCCGTTGCGGAGCACAGGCTCTGGATGCGCAGGCTCAGCGGCCCTGGCTTACGGGCCCAGCCGCCATTAACTTTTGAGTGTGTTGGCTTCCGGTTCCAGATTTCATACTACTTATTGCATAAGCTGCCTTCTTGCCTTCCTTGCTTACCATCTTCTTGCTTCCAACCTTTCAGTTTCCTCTCTTGGGTTGTCTACTGTTCGATGTTTTCTAAGTTGCCATAGCATTTCCAGGTTTATGGTGCATAGATTGTGCTTATGTATATAATGATGCCTTTGTTTTTTTTACAGAGTATGGAAACCCAATTGGAAGTTCAAGCATTCCAAATTACCAAAGGCCAAATTGAGAAAATGTTCAACTGTGTTAAAAAATATTTTGTCTGTCACAGATATAGAGAACAAACGTATGGGCACCAAGCGGGGAAAGTGGCGGGGAGTAGTGATGGTGGGATGAACTGGGAGATTGGGGTTGACATATATACACTAATATGTATAAAATAGATAACTAATAATAACCTGCTGTATAAAAAAAATAAAATTCAAAAAAAATATTTTGAGCTGGCTGAATGTCATTTAGGATGGAAGTTCCATTAAAAGCAATGAACACACAGATGGTGCTTCTTCATAGGTTTGGGAAGAATGCTGCACTGACTAGGGCACTGTGTGGACCTCTGGCTGGGGGACCCTGTAAACTGGTTTGGGGTGTGGCTTAGGGATCTTTAAACTGTCAAGCCATGTATACCCCTTCTTACCTCCCACTTGGTCAATCAAAATTTTTATATAACTGATTTGTACAAATAGAGACCTGAACTTTCTCCCATGGGAGCCTGCCTCATAATCTTTATTGGAGCTTCTAAAAGGATCTTCTGACCAGGATGCGTTTTATCTCTGATTCTCTAACTCTCATTTATTTAGCATCACCCATTGTCCCTGATATTAAAGGAAGATGCTGGAATGCAGCCAGTTGTCAGGTAGAGCCAGAGATAGGCCCAGGCCTGATAGGTGGCAGCCATTCAAGAGCTTAGCCTAGGATGGCAGCATGTTCATCTTCCCTGTAGCAGTAAACAGGT